TATCTATCTATCTATCTATCTATCTATCTATCTATCTATCTATCTATGGAAGCTGGGACAGGCTTTTGGCTTTGGGAATGTGCCCTCCGAGGGCTTCACTTTTGGGAGAAACTCTGAGTTATTCTCTTCTGTTCCCAGAGGTTTCCTCCGATCCCCCGTACGGCAGCAGGAGGCCTCACCTCGCCGTAGAACACCGTGTTGTTGTAGCGCCTCATCTCTGGGTAAACGTTGTCGAGGTACCACTGGAAGCTCTTGCACTGCAGACTCTTCCTCAGAGAGACCCTCTGCGACACGTCTCCGTAATCAATCCCATGGTTCTGCGGGAGGAGAGCCAATCCAGGGGATGTGAACACATCAATGCGGCTCGTGTCTGCGGAATAATGATCGACTAAACATTTCCTGGTCCAGGAAAACATCCTGCAAACATCAGCCAACAACACTAATCCGCTTGTGTGCAAAACACCAAACAAGGTCCCAGTTTTTTTCCAACCAGCCACTATAAACTTAGCTTTTTACAACCATAATGACCAAAACTGGGCCCAAACACATTTCTGAGACATTCTTAAACCCACGTTTGGTTTTAAATCTTCACGAGAAGGCGAGTACAAACTGACTTTTCCCAGATTGACCTCCTGATAGACGCACCTCCAGGTTTCTTTGAATCAAACTTAAGTGGACTTAAGTGGGCCTCAGTGCTGCACATGGGATTCGAACTTTCACTTTTTAAAAAAAGTAGAACAAATCAAGTGGCAACACAGCCGAATCCCAATCAAATCTGCAGTTATTTGTTTATTTTCTGGTTTCTTTTGTCAGATTGTGGATGGAAATCTGCTGACAGAGCCACGTCACAACTCACAATAATCTAAAACATTTCCAGATTGACACAGTCCCCAAAATCCCGCGCATGTGTTATGCTGTCTGAGTTATAAATGAACTCCCTTCCTGAGCCCGTTTACTGGAAAGAGAAAACCAATCCAACCCCAGCTGGACCTAAAATGTTTGTTTAGATGAATGAAAGCAGGGAAAAAAGTGTCGTTTCAGCACAATGAGACCTTCAGTGAAGCAAAGAGAACTAAACCTGTCTGTATTTGGTGATCTGGGCCTAAAAAGGCCATCAGTTATGTGGTCTAAAACACTGGAATGCAAATGAGAGCAATCGTGCACCAGCTAACGGGGGAATATCACCTCCATTGGGATGTTCCAGGCCAGGTAGACGTTGGACTTGTACTCGTCCATCCAGACCTCGGCCACGCGCAGGGCGTTCCTGCGGGTGTGGAAAGCGATGTTGCTGTGGTAGGGCTTCTTCAGCCGGGCGATGTGAGCCACCCTGGAGCAGGGCAGCACCTCCATGCTCCCCCCGCACAGCCACACCTGCAGGGTGACCGGGCAAAGCTCTCAATCATGAAGGATAGGAAGGGGGGAATAAATCAAAGGCAAAAGGAGAAGTTTGGGGCTATTTTAGTCTGGTTTTAACTCAAGAACTGAACCTTGACCTGCTTGTTTTTCGTGTTTTTAGAGCAACGGGACTAAATCGAGAAGCCAAAAGGAGGTTAAAAGGCACTCAGAGGAACACCCAGAAGGAGAAACTGTTTGAAAATATCTCAAATGCTGGGAATCCGACTCCCAGCCCTTCCCTCTCTGTGCGACCTATTTCTCCCCGCTGCCCTGCACACACAGGACCGGTCCGCCAGGACCTCTAATGGGGCCTCGTTTATCGTTTTATGGCACAAACCCTGATGCCCAGCTCGATGTTCTCCCCCCCGTAGACGTCCATCCCCGAGTCCAGCAGGCCCAGCTCTCCAAAGTAGTCCCGGTTGGCCACGAAGGAGCAGCCAATCATGGCAGGAGTCCTGCATGGAGGAAAAGGTTCAATATAAGAACCTGCCTGTTTCTGTTTGTCTTTATGGGATGTGACACATGCCTTCATATTCAGTGTTTATATTGGAATTGAAAAAAGAAAGAAGAAATCATTCAAATCTCCTCTTGAATTTCCCCTTGGGGATCAATAAAGTATCTATCTATCTATCTATCTATCTATCTATCTATCTATCTATCTATCTATCTATCTATCTATCTATCTATCTATCTATCTATCTATCTATCTATCTCTTGATGCACGTATGGGTGAAAATCCGATAATTAAATCCCATTGGTAGCGGAGCCACTCCACACTTCAGGCTGTTATTTTTAATTGCCTTAAGTGAGTCTTGTACTGAATCAAAGGCCTATTTTACATTTTTCCTCTTATCTCCCCAAAAGGTGAATGATGAGAACAGAGTAATATAATCTCTCTCCACAGAGAACATTAGGATATTTTTCAGGAAGCGGTGAAGATGTTTTACGAGGTAATGCAGACGGTTTAATATTTTCCCTTTGAAGGATGGAATCACTGTGCAGGATTTCTTGTAATCTGGTATTTTGGACATCGGCTGCTTTTCTCTCAGTCTAGTTCTCATGCAGATAAGCCACTTAATACTGTTGTATGAATCATTCAAGCATGAATTAAACGCATGTAAACCAACAGATCAGACGTTGTTGTGACAGAGCAAAGCAGCAGTTTAAAGTGGATCTTTAGGCAGTTTGTTAGCAGCAGTCTGTCACAAAGACACATCATATGTTCAATTTCTTTAGCTGATGGTGAAAAAGGCCAAAGAAAAACCCAGTCTGACAGACAGGAAACGGGATTTCTGAGGATTCCCAAAGAGCTGCTGGCTGGAAACTGGGCAGATCTCAGCCTGGTGAGCAGTGAGTCCCTAAAACATGTGAGGAAACTGGACCAGTGGAGGACAAAAGAAGAAGAAGAGCTGGGCCTGAAAAACTCTGTAATCCAGCAGATGAAGAGGATCTGAAAGTCCTTCAGAAAGAGGAGCAGATCCAGCAGAGAGCTGAACAGGAGCTGAGAGCTGCATCTGGACCTCCAGCTGACCAGCTCCTGGTGGCTGAATCAGAAATGCTCTCCATGAAGGAAGAAAACAGGAGGAAAGGCGTCGCTCTGCCAGAGGAACCAGAAGTGGATGAACCCCAGCAGCTCTGATGGAGGGATGGATCCTCACTCCTTTGAGGATTTTTAATGAACCAAAAAAGCAAAAAACAAGGCGTAAAATGACAAAAAATGCAGGAAAAAGTCCAAACAATGCTAAAAAATGACCAAAAATACAACAAAAAAATGCAAAAATAGAGCAAGAAAGACCAGAACAAAGCCAAAAGACACTAAAATGACCACAATTATGCCAAATGAAGCAGCTCTGATGGAGGGATGGATCCTCCAGAGCCGGAGCTCCACATTATGAAGCAGTGTGGGATCATCTGACAGAATGGAGCCAAAGGCAGCAAAACATCCAGAGAAAAGAGCTTTGGGATGTCCTTCAAGAAGCCTGGAGAGCTGCTGGTGGAGGAGGAAGGAGCTCAGAGATGGAGGAAATTTTAAAGCTTCTAAGAAATGTACTAACTTTGTTTTTTTCTTATAGATTTATGCAATTTTCAATTTTTTCAAATAAATAAATGACACATAAATGTGAGGACTCTGGTGCCTCTGTATAAATGGTAAACACTTTTTTCTAGTCCAGTAAACGGGTGGTGCGGTGGACTTGCCTGATGGGCGCGGACATGTCCCCCTCGTCCCACCACTGCTTGGGGGGGTTGATGTACATGCACCACAGCTCCCAGTTGTAGCCGTGGCCCGAGTTCTCGTAGCGCTCCACCTCGAACGTGTCGTGCTTGATGTTGTCGATGGAGGGCAGGATGATCCTTTTGTGGTCCTCCTTTATTCTGGCCAGAACCGGTTCAGCCCTTTAAAAGAGGGGGGCAACACATTGGCATTAAGACGCGATTCAAACGGCCGGCGACACCCATCTTTTTCCCAACTGAGCCGGAAATCGAGCAGAGGCCTAAAAGCTCGGCCGAGATCTGCTGATACGGCGTCTTCTAATCCGATTTGAGCGGTTCTTCAAATCCGCAAGGATGCGCGATCACAGCAGATGGATTCAATTAGCCCGGATAATTCAACTTTCCTGCGGTTATTGACAATCTGACCACAGATGCATCAATACCGGAGCGGAAAAAAAGAGGCTTTGTCCCAGCAGAGACCGAGCTTCCACGGAAATGAAGGCTTATATCTATCTTTTACAGACGACATTCATCCTCTGTGTGATGCAAATCCTTTTTTTTTT